CCCATCAAAACTACCATGTTAAAAAGTTCAAAATATATATAACAAAAGGGTTAAATTATGTCAGTAGTCTTAGCAAAAAGCTTATTGATCGCCTCCTCATCGGCTTTTATATTGTCGTAGCAATATCAGAGTCAAGAGTACATATTTTCAGGTAGTTAACAGTTCTGTTACCTAGAAAAGAGCCTGCAATTTTACTTTCAAAGTTTTGATGTTTCTCTGCTTTCCGGATATGTTTGACAACAAGCACGGCAAAATTAGTAAGGAATACAGGTTAACAATTTGCTACTTTTAAAAGAGCTTATGACATTTAATTTTTAATTTAAATCCAAAGTATCTAATGCTAAAGTTGTCAGCTAGATTAATTTACCTGAATAAGTCAGCAATCAACTCCTGACATATACTTGTAATACATTTGTTTTGGTCTAATATTCTTTTCTTTATTTCAAGATTATGTTCCTCTGAATTCTTGAAACTGTTAGGTCTGAAAACATATACTTGTTCTTTGAGTGTCACAATAAAATCAGGTTTTATGGACTTGAACAACAGTTTCACTCCTTATATTTATAAATAATAGCGAGAAATGTAAATAATAAAAGCAAGACAATAGTTAGAAGAACATAAAATGGTCAAAGTGGTAAAATGCAAAGTTTTATGATCAAAGGCAGTTGGGCAGATAGGATTTTTTAAAATTAATTTCTTTCTACTCTAGATCTTAATAAAGTTATTATATTATCTTTCGAAACTTTGTATATATGTTTGAGACAAAGAGTCTTTGTCGCAGTCATCATTAATATAAAAAAATGAACTTGTGTACGAAAAGAGTAAAAAAAAATCGATCTTTTAAATATAAATACATTTTTTGAAGCTGTTTACTCTACGTTCTAATTTTTAGTTTTATATAATATTTTGTCTCAAAACAAAAAGCATATGCCGGTAAAATGATACTCTTAAATGGAAGACCTCCATATAGTGATAGAAAAATAACTAATCATAGCATTTCATAAGAAAAAAATATACAATTATTAATTCCGTACACAAATGATAAAAATGAAACACCAATCTTAAATGTACCACCAACATTATTTAGATGTAATTGCTAATTTTAACATAAAATAACACAACCATTCATTCTTATAATTCATCATTCTAGATTAAGTTACAACGTTACGTGTTTACCACTTTAGTCTTTCGTCCTGGATTTCCAAATATTACATTTTTTTGGACTTGTCAAAATTCTATTCTAAAGTTATAATCTTATCAACAGTGAGACTACATTAGAGTCCGAGAGATATAACTGTTTATTGTGGGACACATTCTCTTAAACATAACATTCATTCTGTCGCACTCAGAATACCTTAATGTTCCAGAGAGGGCGAATTTCCGATTGACTTGACTCATTTTGTCAACGAACAAATTTGCTATTTGTGTCGGTATGTTTGGTAACTGTATCCGGCGTTTTGCACCCTTTGATTTTGTGTGTTCACGTTTGCACAAGTTTTGATCTGTCGTTATAACTTTGCCATTATCTACATCCACAATTACCAGATTTGCCACCTAAAATGCAAAAGATATTATATTCTACACATCATTAAGCAAAATAAAAGTAATATTTGTTTTAAATGATTGCACTACATCTGTGTCTGAAAACTGATTTATACATAAATAACCACCCACCGTTGACTGTGTTGTGCTTGACAATATTTATAACTTCTTTCATCGCTAAGAAGTTGTGTAATGTTGGCAAACTCTAACTTACGAATAAAGACAAAAGCACCACATAACAACACGGATATTCAGCGCTAAAAAAAGCTTAAGAATTATCAGTTACAATCATTGGTACTATTCCAGGATGATTTGGTTTAAACTGTACGATAAAAATGTTTAAAATATAATATACCTTTTCAACGTCCTTTGTATGTCTAGAATGTACACCATACAAAAACGTACCGGGAGTTTTGAGGTAGTCAATTTTGTTTGATGGGAGGACAGTTGAATATTTACTTTTCCACCTAAATGGTAGTATCAGATGCATCAACGACTGGAATAGAAAGCAACATACAGATGGCTTCCAGTTGGGACGAAGTCCAACTAGTGCACTTAAAAGCTCAATATTTCCAACCATACAGGGTAACGTCCACTGCAGTGACATTTTATCACAGCTATATTTAATGTGTGATCCCAGCAAAATTATGTAGATTTATGATTTAAGAAAAAACACTTGCAGTTAAAATAAGAAATTTCAATTGGCAAGTTCATTGAACTTTTTAAATTATGTAACCTGTTTTGCAAACATATAAGAATTAATTTAAGATGACTGTCTAAATTTTGTTAAAAATAAATTAAATACGAACGCGGATTTCAGTACAAAATTATGTTTTACCTCCATAAACATTGTTAAAAGGTCGTAATTTGAGGACAGGAACACTATTCTCTCCTCCACAAGAATACATGAGAGAATTTTTAGGAACTCTTCAGCATTGAAACACAGAAACACCAAATGCAGTTCAAGGTCAATCACAGGCTTGTCTGGATGAGTGGGAGGTAACAATATCAAATCTAAATCGTATAATCTGAAATTCTAAATTGCATAGAAATTAAACACTGTTACCTTTTAGCACTGAAGTCATGCAGAATACGTTATAGACCATATAAGTAAAACCTAGGAAAGGGTATTACTTTGGGAGCAATAAAAACCACAAAAATTACACGAAAAGAGCAGATTCAGTTTCATTGAGTCTGTTCATTATTGTAAATGAAAAACAATGTAATTTAAATCCATCACGTCATCTTATGTCATCATTAAACGTATCTGTTTTTCTGTTCTTCTTGTTATTGCTTTACTCTTAAATTCACTTTTATTCATACTATATACAATGTTTTACACTCTTTTTTCAATACAAACATTTGATCTTTGTCATTCTGTGTTAATACCCAATGTCTTAAACAGACTGAGTTGTACATTATTTGATGTCAAAACGTCAACTTTGATGTAAAGTGTACAACAAAAATGACGATGATACTACTGGAATAAAATCAACGGAATCTAATCTGATATATGGTCAACTTTTTAAATGCCAATTTTCAAGACGCTACTCGAAAGTTCCAAAAAAGTCGTGTTCCACCGTAAGTAGAAGTGATACATGCCATTGAAATGTGTTTCATCTTTGTTTCTTAGAGCTAAGAAAACAAAAAGGATAAGATGTAACGTTTAAAAATACTTCGGACAATTAAACAATTATGATTTCGGTTCTTACCACTCTGAGATTCCCTGCAGGAGGTACTGGGGTATGCGTTATTACGTATGCAAATTCTTTAATGAAAGCTGTCATTTCTGTAAGGCTCTTCTCGACATGTGGACAGAGACTGAAACAATGGTAATAACACAAAATCAGAATACCAAGGCTGCGTTTCATAGAAATTTCTTAAATCAGTCTTAAGACCACAACTAAGACAATTTTGTGTTTCAAAGAAAATGTCCTAACTTATGACTCTTTTGTTATGACTCTTTTAATTCCTGAATTTCAATCTTAATTGGCATTTTCACATTGCGAATAACAGGATTCGTCATTGTATTTCTTATCATTTCTCAGGATTATGAATTTATTTATAGTCTACAGTAATGAATGAAGATAAAAATGTTTATTTAAACGGCTTTATCTGTTAGTCCGAAAGTTGGTTTTATGTCCTAAGACTTATGATACACTTATTACTTTCTATGAAATACGGCCTTGATGTATTACTAGGTTACAATTCCACATGATTAAAACATACAAAATGTTGTAATACCTTGTAAATATGCTTATAATATATATTTATTAATCTGGAAAACGGGTAATCCATCGGGAGCATTGGCAACAACAATTTAATATGAAAATTGCAGAGTCGGTTTAATGGAGTCTGCTCGTGAGAGATAATGAAAAAGGTGCAACATCGGACATCGGACGGATTCGAAACAATATGATATGAAAATTTCAGACTCGTTTTCAAGAGAGATAATGAAAATATTGCAACATCGGACGCATTGGAAATAATCATATGATATGAAATTAAAACCACATGAAAAAAGAAATTATATACAATGAAAATGAAAATTCGTAAATATTGTCTAAGAAAGTGCTAATATTGTATTACTTACCAAGACAAACATTCTTTCAATGTTGAATGATATGGATAGTGTGATACTATAGCACAACATTGTGGAATGTAGCGTCTCATTTCATCACCGCTTAACATTCTTCTCCTATCAAGTTCGGTGTAAAATATGCATTACCAATGTCGTCCTAGGAGACACGTGCGTGGAATATAATAAAATCATGTCAAACGACTATACTTAAACAGGATTGTAAAGGTCGGATATTTTGATTTGGGTATTTGTTTTGATAACGTGTTCGCGATATTTTAGTTCAAAAAACAATAACTTTAAATTTTTGAAGAAACTGAAACGAACAAAACATCGCTTATACTGGTAAGAGAGGTTTCATAGATGTGTGTTACGGCGGAAAAGAAACCAGTTTAAAAATGAAGTGTTTATCAATTCAAAATGTTAGCTTATATATTTCATTATTGAATCTAACATATTCTTTACTAAAAACTTGTCCTATATTGACAAAGATTGTATTCATATTCCGATTATTCCGTAATATAAAACAATGTAAAAATCACAATTCACATTTTAGATCTTCACATATGTTAATTTCTTTTTTGACATTTTATTTTTTGTGATAACTAATGTCAATGATAGAAATAGGTGTCAACGGGTCAACGCACGAGGACTGAAAAGGCCACGAAATATTACACACGTACATTGTTTCTAATCAATCTAATGCGATTGTTTGGTTATATATTGTCTTTAACAACATTGTAAGAAGCAAGACGTTTTGTAATTCTTGTAAGTTACCTTCTCCACTTTGTAGGGTCTGAAAAAGGTAAGACAACTGATAAAGAGGCGTTGATTTGACCCGTCGTCTATCAATGAGAACAAACGAGTTATATTTTCCGGCTTCTTCTTGTGTATCTTAAAACCATCTGAAATACAATGAAGGGCATATAATGTAATATAATGAAATACCACATCATATCATATAATAACATAACATAACAAATCACATCATATCATATCATATTACATTATATCATGCCATGTAATGTAATGTTATATTTGAATATGATATAAAATGTAACAATTATAACAATGTTGTCATAGTTATATGGATATGGAGTCGTATATGAAACGAGTGAGCAGTGTTTAATTTCAACCTTCAAAATAATTTAAGTTTCTTGAAATATTTACATAAGCTATATTAAGTTTTATGATGGGCTGTGTCAAATTAAAAGATAAGCAAAATCATTAAAACAAAGATAGGTTCTTACCTGGAAAACAATATGATGGTAGAGAATTCATGGTGTCAACGCTAAACCTTAGATTAAGATTTTCAGAATTGTTATCACCCAACCTAGAATGTACTAGCCGCATCATGCGACCTAATCGTCTTCTCTGAGACGATGGTGAGCTTCTTGTCTTTCTGGATCAAAAACGTTAACAGACTATTCAAAGAAAACGTAATTAAATACTTTGGTATTTATCGTATGATGAGCTATAGAACAAGTACCGAAACATGAGGCAATCTGATTGCCGAGTGTTTTGATGTTCTTTTTCTTTTGTTACATAGCGAAAATAAAAACACGTTCTCCTGTCGTTACACTATCTAACCCCAGAAAAAATGAACCAATGTACAAACACATGGATCCTTATCTCTTCCACTGTCTTAACAATAAATAAACCCAAGAAAAAACGAGCCAATCGACGAGCGGCAACTGAAGTGCGGGTACCTTAATCCTGTTCCCCAGTTAACGCACTTTGCATGTATGGATATATGATTTAATTCTGGCATATTTATATTGGAAATGTCTCCAATTTGTGATATAATGAAGTACAGAACATTTCCGATTTAAAATATGCACAAGGGTATATAATTCGCGCCATGTAATACACGTTAAAATTAATATCACAGAAACTAGTCTGATATCAAAACGAAAAATATACCAATCCGTGGTGGCGAAATTTTGAAAAGACAGTTTCATTTTTCAATTTATGAAGCCTTCAGATAAATCTAAGGAAAAATAAATACGTAATTGTATCATCGCCGGACAATTTTGATATCATTTACCGTTTGACATTTAAAAGGCCAACCATGACATCAAATTTTGATACATTGTACTATGGGATACTAATGTTGTCGCAAACAGAAAATTATATCACTCTAATTTCATGATCATACTTCTATGGCCAGAGAAGATGAACGGAACTTTGAGTAATAACCGTGATATTGAAGCAATCTTCCTTTGGGTTTTACCTCTCGATAATTTGATAATTATGCAAATACATTGTAAAACTTGTTATATCCTTAGGCAAAACGCGTACGAAATGTTAATGTTAAGCATATTTTATTATACGGTTACTTTCAGTCTCATGAATAATCAGCTAAAGCATCACTAATGTCCTTTGAACTCGTTGGAAGCGGAAAGGCATCTAAATGGTCAACTTAGGATGAGGATCTGATTTGTAATCCAGGGGTCGTTGGTTCGATCTTCGGACGAGACGAAATGTCCCCATTACATTTGATTCTAACGGGCATTTGTCTCCAATCATGATTTCTCGAGAAATCATGTGTGATTAGTAGTACGTCACTTACGGAGTAATTAATATCTACTGGTTATTTATCTAGGAAAGCCGGACAGATGGACTGACGGTCGAGATATGGCCAATACAAGTAGAAACAAGAAAATAAACAAATCGTTCTCCATTACCTAATATATTGACCTTGATTTGATGCCAGACTTTCAGTCTGGATCTAACCGTTTATGATTTTAGTGAAATGTTCAAATTACAATGAATACACTGATTGAAAAGCGGACAATGATCCCAAATGTGCCCTTTGTGCATTGGTCGCGTGGGTAGAATTGTTGAATATTGTATCGATAACAGAATAAACAATGAAAGAAAATATAACAAATCCGTTAATATAGATATAAATGTATAAATAAAAGTTATATTATAAAATAAGCAAAATCCTTACTTAAATTGATGAAAGAGTAAAACTGATAAAGTTTCATACCGTATTGATTTCTTATTTTCAAAGTCTGAATCAGGTTGTATCTTTCTCGCATTCTCCCTCATCTGTTTTTCCTTCTGAAAATATACAAGTAATCGTTATTATCACAATGAATATAAAAGGATTATCAATATTTTCTTGTCTTAATTTCTAATTAAGTATGCACACATAGAAACTTTAAACTTTCAGATTTTTAGTTCAAACACCCAGCAATTCAACGTTAGTTTAATGTTGTTAATATACTGACCGATATCTTGCCTGGAGGATATGAGTCTACGCTGTGAGGTACAGGAACAAAATTCACCATAGAATCGCCACTTATTGCGAACAAAATTTTCGGTTCATAGTGTGTATCATCCTCATCTCCAAGCAACTGAAATTCGTTAAAATTATAGACATCTAAACATGTACATGTATTTATTTCAACAAAAGAAACACTATTTGTACGAATTTACAACCGCACAAATCTATCCTTGAAATGAAAAGGTGTTGCTGCTTTTTAATTTTGTCTTTTGGCTTCTTTTCTGTGATATGCTGACTTTATAATCTCTGATCACCTTTAAAAAAATCCATTTTATCAAGTACTGCTCATTGTTACACACGCATTCCTCTTCTTGGGGACCATACGCCCCTTTTTGTGAAATGGCACTAAAGTGCCACATTAATGATTCCATGATTACCGCCGTATGAACACATCTGCAGATGTTTCTAAACTCAAAATTTCACAATTTACCGTCAATCAAACCAAGCCTGATATACATGTATTTGCAATGAGATTTTGCCGTTAGGGATGCTGTTTTTCTCTGTTTACGAACAATTTAAATATGTAACAAAATTATGAAAATGAAAAAACCCTTCCTGTCTAAAATGATCCTATGACAGCTGCTTTACAAGCAAATTAAAATAAAGACAATGATCTTTACCATTGAGACCAGACATCAAGATATACACATATTTTAAAAGTTAGAAACCGTATGCAAACTTAGTTAATCCAATTAAAGTGTAGGTTTTAACAAAACAGAATATAATTTTAAAGATTCTTTACATCATAACAGTACTTGTAGACTTAGTAGAAGTGATTTTTTCTAACACTGGCAGCTTGTCATTAGTCATAAATTCAGACCTTACCATGAAAATATGCTACACTCGACCAGAAACAATTAAAATACATACACTGGCTTGACCGTGTATGGATTGACAGTGAACTAGAGAAATTTCAAGAAATGTTTGCTGATGTAACTATGGTGTGTCAATAAAATACGTTTCGATTCTAAATAAGTTAATGTTATCACAATTTCTGATTTAACTAAAATGAATGTATTGCACAGAAACATGAATTCAAGGGAATCAATGTATCGCTTATAAAAGCTCAAACCTTATTTTATAACATCCTTTTTTTCTTAGTGTAACACGTTAAACAGGTGGTTTTGATTTTAATAATACATGTCTTTTTTGTCATAATAGATAACATTACAGCAGCATGCCTCCGGATTAATACCAATTTTCATAAAAATTTTAAAAACGTTTTTTTTTTAATGTAAAATATTGTAAAGTGAACATAGAAAATAATTTACAAATTGCAAGCAGCACTTGAAATTCACTTAAATTACCAAAACATAAGCATAAATTTAATTGTCCTTACTGTGTCCAGATTAATTTTCTTGAATTATTTTGGCTCATCTGGAGGCTTGCAGCTTTAATGGATATATTTGAACTTCAAATTGTTGAAGAGATTAAGGTTATTTTACTTTCACAAACATAATTTTAACTTCCTGATCCTATATGACTGTAACAATGATAATATTTTGTATCAATGCAGAATTTTCATCATACTATTAGGTAATCAGATAAACATGTTACATTGTTTATGTTGAAACAATAATTGCCAAAAGCACGTTGAGATTTTATCAAGAACGACACAGTTATCAGTTATCAGTAATTAAGGACGCAACTAGTAAATATAGCAATGAAATGTATAATTATGAACCTTTTAACATCTGAAAACATAATTGTTCATTTCATCATTTACCATATGCCTCTGTTACACGGTACTTATAATTCGGGTAATTATGAAAGTTAATTGGCGACGACAGACATAAAAATGAATTACAATCATTTTTCTTTTTCTCACTTCCACTGACGAATCAATTACTCCGGAAAATATGGTTTTTACATGTAAATATGTAGTATAAACGTAAGACTTTGTGGGAAGGGCTGTTGCTAATGTTGTAATTACTTGTAGCCCAACCCGTTTGCACTATACTTATATGTACATTTGTTGTTGTTGTTGTTTTTTCAGTGTGTGTGTTTCATATCTGACATGTATTATATAGTTGCAATAAAATATTTTTAAACTAATTACAATCATAATGTAGGCCAAAATGTTAAATGCTAAATAAATGTAATTTTAAAAAAAAATTTAAAAATTATAAGCGTTGCAACCCCTTTCAATTAAATCGGGCTAAGAATTGCACGCTAGAATTAACGATTTTCACTTTAATTCTAAGTAAAGTTCTTTATTATCCTTTGCAATTATTGTTGTATTATTACTTTATATTATCAATATAAAAATTTAAAAACTTTTAAAAAGCATTTTGACTTCAGTTCAGCTCCTTTTATTCAATACATGTACATATATATATATATATATATACATGTATATATATTTTTATCAAATGAGTATGAATTAGATAAAAACAAGAAGTGAGTCAAATTAAAATTGCCTTTTATACATAAGCCAGAATTACTTTTAGAAACAGGATTAAGAAGATAATCTGCTGAAGAATTTGAGCAAATAAAAATGAGCTTTACAAATATAATGGATGTTGACTTTCTTGTTTTTGTTTGTTTGTTGATGTTTTGTTTTTCTTCCAATGTATCAACATTTGAGTTTATAAAGATCTTACTTACCGG